TGCAGGGGCGAGCTCCAGGCGCTTGTGCTCTGGCTCCATCTCCTCCAACCCCGTTTGTGGCACTTGGGCATCCTCGCTGTGACCTGCCTCATTTCACCAGACCTGGCTCTGTGCTCTTCCTGAGGGCAGCTTGTGCTTAACTCAGCTGAAAAGGTGTGAAAACTGAGCACTAAGTCTTGTCTGTGTGAGGTGACAGAGTTCAGCTGTACCCTGCAAGGTGAGGACCACCGAGGAGGCCATGCCATGTGGGGCTGTGGGTTTTATGCATGGTCTGTCCATTAAGTCAGTGTGATGTAAGCAGCCAGGACATGTGTTTGTAGGCTGCTGACCTGAATGTGTCTTTCCATGTTGTGCCCACAGGCCAACCTCATCAATGAGCTGTTGGTGGTGTTTGTGTGTGCAACCACTGGCCAGGGTGACCCCCCTGACAACATGAAGGTAGGAAATGCTCCTCTCCATGATGCTTTTACATTCCTGGTCCAGTGACTGGATTTCTCTCTGGAAGCAGCTTGAGCAGTGGTTATTGTTGGGAGGGGCTTTGGAGCAGCACCAGTCACGTCTTGTGTTTCTGATGGGACACGGGCAGGGAGCTGGTGAGGTTTCAGCAGCTGGAGAGGCCCCACCATGGCAGGAGCTGCAGCTTTGCAGAGCCCACAGACCACTGGCCTCCCGGTGGCTACTCTCAGGGTCACCTCTGCAGAAAGCCACGCTTCCCACTCTGCTGGGACTCAGAGCAGGGCAGGAGGGAGCCGGCGGGTGGGGACAGGGCGCTGGGGACAGGCAAGGAAAGGTTCCCTGGCAGCAGCGTGACTCCCACCGTCTCCTTTGTAGCTGTTCTGGCGGTTCCTGTTCCGGAAGAACCTGCCCCCTGGTTCCCTCTGCCGGCTGGACTACGCCGTGCTGGGCCTCGGCGACTCCTCCTACCCCAAGCAAGCAGCTCTGAGGCTCCGGGTCTGCTCAGCTCTGGCTGCAGCGAGACCAGAGTAGCTGGAGAACGATGGGGGATAAGCGGGGAGACAGAGCCTGGTTCTAGAGCAGCAGCTCAGACAAAATGTAATTCCCACCAGCCTTCAAAATCAGCCCATGACCCTCCTAACCCCCAGGAATTGGGCTTCTGCCTGTTTCTTTCCTCCTGGCTTCTTCAAGCAATGCTTTGCTGCAGTGTGTCACACATCATTTTCTAGTCATATATTACAGCATTCACTTCTGTGTCTGCACTGCAGGACAGCCTGTGCCACAGGAATTTGTGTGGACTGAGCCAGTGAGAGATGTGAAACAGAGTTTTAGGTGGCAAGCAACCCCCTTGGTCCCAGTTCACTCCCAAAAGATTGTTCCCATGTGCTTGAAAGAGCTGTAGTGGGAGGGATGGGAGTGTGCCTGAGCTCCGTAGACAGTGAGAAGGAAGGAGGTATTTGTCTGGGGAACAGCTGCCCTGAAGGGAAGCTGTACCTCCCTAGGTCCCTTCTGGGAGCTGGGCACAGTCTGAGCGGCCCAGCAAGTGGCAGCCAGCAGCTGGTTTTAACCTGCCAGAGGGGAGATTGAGATGAGCTCTGAGGCAGAAGCTCTTTCCTGTGAGGGTGCTGAGGCGCTGGCACAGGGTGCCCAGAGAAGCTGTGGCTGCCCCATCCCTGGCAGTGTTCAAGGCCAGGTTGGACACAGGGGCTTGGAGCACCCTGCTCTAGTGGAAGGGGTCCCTGCCTGTGGAAGGTGTCCCTGCCTGTGGCAGGGGCTGGAACTGGATGAGCATTAAGGCGCTTTCCAACCCAAACCAGTCCGTGATTCTATGGGTCCCTGAACTGCCCCAGGATGGAGGCCCAGGCTGGGCAGAGCCAGGGCCAGGTCCTGCGTGCTGGTTCTGGCTGGATCTCTGCAGCTGAGCTTGTTCTCTCCTCAGGTTTAACTTCGTTGCAAAGAAGCTGCACAAGCGGGTGCTGCAGCTTGGGGGCAGCCCTCTGCTGCCAGTGGCCTTGGGTGATGACCAGCATGACTTGGGGTAAGAGCCCAGTGGAGGGATGCAGGGGGGAGCCCTTGGGTGCACTATAGGTTTGTCCTTGGCAGGACTCAGTGTGCTTTACCCCAGCCCTGGGGACAGCAGCGTGCTGCTTCCACTGTGGGTGTGCTCCTGTGCCCCAGACGTGGCTGCAGCCTCCTGCTGCTCTCTGTGAACATGCTGGTCTCTGTTCTCCTGTGCCAGAACCTGGGTCACTTCCTTCTCCAGGGGGTCCTATGTCCCCCAGCATGTGTAACCATTTCCTGGCTCTGTGCAGTCTTGTTCAGGTCAGGTGGTGGCTGTCACACAGCTGTGTACGTGCTGCACTGCAGCAGCTGAGCTGTGCTGCTGCTCTCCTCACACGGGGCAGAGCCTGCGTGTGGCTCCAAGAGTTGGTGACTGCCACCAGTTGTGTGTAGGGGGGTGGTGGTTCTGTTCAGGCATCAGTGGATGGTCCCCAGAGAGTGAGTGAGCGCTCAGAGTGGCTGAGATGTTTCCAGACCTGAAGCTGGAAGGGAATGGCATGGAGCGGCTGTGTGGTGGAAGAAGAGCAGAGGTTGTTGCCCAGGGGTGGCTCAGTGGTGTCTGGGGGCAGGTGTAGCAGCACTTGAGCCTTAAGGGATGCTGCTGCACTGCTGCAGCCTGACTTTCGCACCTGCAGGCCGGACGCAGTGGTTGATCCATGGCTTGTGGCCTTATGGGACAAGATCCTCATGTTGTATCCTCTCTCTCCTGGCCTTGAGATCATTAGTCCAGATGTACGGTGAGTGCAGGAGGAGGCAGGGGCTGCTGGAGCTGCCTGGGTGAGATGCTCTGCTTCCTTGGCTCTTTCCTGGGGTGGGGATAAGCTCTGTTTGCCCAGGAAGCCTCCCCATGTAGCTTCTGGGGTCCCAGGTATCCCTTGGACTTTGGTCACGGGTGGCCCATCTCTCTCTGGATGGGATGTCCCCTTGTCCCCTGGATGTGCTGTCCTAGCAGAGTTCTGTCCATCTTGCTGTCCTGATGTGCCTCTGCCTTGGCAACTGTGCTGAGTGTGTATGCCCCACCACCGCCCTCTGCCTGCTCTGGAGCCTTTGAGATCTTCTCCTGGCAGTCTGCATTGTGTTCCCTTGCCACAAGCCAGCTCCAGGAGACAGGGATTATGGGTGGTGGATATAGTGATGAGACTTCAGGCCTCTTCCTGCCTCCAGCCTCTAGCACTACAGCAGCAGAGGAGCTGTGGCATGGAGGTAACCAAACTGCACTGCTCTCCTCTCCCCAGCCTGCCCCCAAAGTACACCCTACACTATGTGGCTGAGGACTCCCCGCAGCCCAACGGGGCCCTGTTCCAGCCCACAAAACCCAGAGCTGCTCCCTCTGAGCTCTGTCCCTTCGCTGCTCCAGTGGTGTCCAACCAGCGGCTCACGGCACAATCCCACTTCCAGGATGTCCGGCTCATGGAATTCGATGTCACAGGCTCAGGGATCACGTGAGCATTTTCCTGACTCCCCACCTTTGCTGAGTGGCATGGGGTGTCCCCTTGCTTTCCTCTTCCACTCCCCTTCTTCCCTAAGATCTGAGGCTGCAGCCTTGTGGATGTGGTCCCAGCTGCACTGTTCCCCTCCGTGGCAGTTGGGCATATGGCAGTGTCCTGCCCATGGCCCAGCTCTTTGCCTTGTCAGTTAGAGAGCACAACGTTGGTGTCACTGGGAGTTGGGCTGAGCCGTGGCCTCTGCCCTGGCGTGGGTGCTGGGTGGTGGTGCTGTGCCCGTGGTATGCCCCATGGCTGCGCTCAACTGGTCCCATTGCATCCCCAGGTTCAGTGCTGGGGACGTGGTGATGGTGCAGCCCCAGAACTGCCCTGAAGATGTGCAGCAGTTCTGCCAGCTCTTGCGCCTGGACCCGGACAGACACTTTGTGCTGAAGCCCACGGAGCCCGGTAGGTGCTGCCCACTGCTCCTCTCCCTCCTGGGGACAGGGCAGCTCTGAGCCCTGGCCCAGCATGGAGCTCTGCTTTTCCTTTGATGTAGACCTGGTTATAGGGCACTGGGAGTGGTTGATGGATACAGGGTATGTTCCTGTCTCACAGTTTGGGGGCTCTCCTTCCCTCCCAACTCTGTGTGCCTGTGCATCCCACATTAGGGCCAGTGTGACTTGTGGGAGGACTCCATCAGTGTCCAGGCTGCACCCATGACTTCTGTCTTTGCAGCCCCAGCACAGAGTATGGAGGATCCTGCAGCCTCCCCACCCAAGTCAGGAAGCCTGTGCTTCTTTGCCTCGGGTGTGCAGGTCTCCCCACTCTGCCCAGTGACCTACTGCAAGTGCTTCAGTGCTGGGGCTTTGGCGTGGCAGGCAAACCCAAGAGAAGTTGGTGAGACTTTGGCATAGAGTGCCCAGAGAAGCTGTGGCTGCCCCATCCCTGGCAGGGTTTAAGGCCAGGGTGGACACAGGGGCTTGGGTGACATGCTCTAGTTCCCCTGCCTGTGGCAGGGGGTTGGAGCTGGATGAGTTTTAAGGTCCTTTCCAACCCGAACCAGTCTGATTCTGTGATTCTAAATTCAGGCTGCTCCTCACACCCTTGGGAGAGAAGCAGGAGACAGGACAGGCCTGACACATACCACACTGCTGGTTATTTCCACTGCAAGGTGGGACCCATATGGATAAGGTATCATCCTAAAACACTTGCATAAAGTAAAGGACAGCTTAACACCAGTGCCTTTCTCTGTTGCAAACATGTGGGCTTGAAAAGCAAGCTGAGGAAAGCAGGAGGGAGTGGGAGCCCATGGGGGGAGCGGTGGTGGCAGTAACTGAAGTTGGCTCCTCTGGGACACTGTCGTGGTTCAAGCCCAGCCGG